GTAATGCAGAGGCTAACCCACACCAAACTGCTGAATAACAGAACATTTATGAAGACCAGAGAAATATAAAGATTAAAAAGGTTCGAGTATTGGCGATGAAGGTTCTTCAAAACAAGTTACGAGTAACTGTGAATCGGTCGATATATTCTGAAAACTAACACTCGACTGATATTTGCGATGTTCAGCAACCACAGTTATTCTCGAATTTTACTAGTTAATGGTTTCCTGCTAGCATGCCAGAAAAAGTTAGCGTATATTGCGATGTTTCACGATTTTCTTCAGATCAGATGTTTTCGACAAGGGCCATGAGGTCAACCCATATCAGCGGATATTACTCGTGCTTCATCGAATGACTTATCCTATCCTTCAGAGCTATATCGAGAATGAATAATATATAAAAACCCGAGTTTCACATTTTTCACGCTCATCAATGAGATCTCTTTTCAATTCGATATCGAAATTTTACGTGCAAAATTTGTGATGTTTTAGGATTCTCATTTTCATTTTATGTGTGTAGCTTCGTTTTAATGGCCAGACGTTTTTTTAACAGATGACAGACGTTTAAGAAGCAGATGGTAAAGCGCTTCCGAAAAGGAAATTACATCATGGAGACATTTAGAGGAGTGACGTGTAAAACGAATTTACAACGGACGAGTTCAAAATGTTGTTAGCCTTGAGACGCTACAAGAGTCGGAAGCGGAGGCCTTTCATTATGGAAGCACCTAATAGGTGGCCATCGGTGCCTCCTATGAAGGGATGGACATTTACAGCCATACCTTCTCAGAGATTCGAACCCGAGCCTATCGCGACGGCAATCAGGGTCAGTATCCAGGATACTAGCTGCGCAGTTGATCGCTGGGGTTAGAATCCACAGATTACCTAAGTTTTGGGTCTAACGCGTTCAGCCGACAGGGAGCGAGTACTGGGGAGAATGAACCAAGGACTTTAATTCACCTTATTTTTCTTTTGGACTAGGACAACGATGCAGCCAAGGCACACTTATACGAACGGCAAAAAAGCGACCTGTTAGAGAAGATTAGTAAGAAATAGTAACAGAAGAGTGCAGACGATTGAGAATAGAAAATTGTTTTTAACAGTATTGTACATATGACTCAAAATATTCGAAAAAGACGATAGTGATAAGTCGAGTGAATACTTATCCAAACGTGAACATCACCGAGTATTGCGATTGTCATGTTTGAAAGATAATTCAGTAGACCAGGAAATAGAACTTGACAATGAGACACGGGGCATGAGTACTGATGAAACCAACGACCAAAATAAACGATTTGATCCAAAAAGATAGCAGCCAAATATTGTGCTTTTTACAAATGCCTACGTTGCCAAAATGCTAATAAAAACAATTTTAATTTAAAAAGTTGGTTTTATCCAATTTCACTGCAATTACTAAATTTATTTAAATCTGATATTGTCGGCTTCGATGGACACACTCCCCGCTCAACGAATTAAGCTACAAGACGACCCATGGAATTACAAATTTAATTTGCTATATCCAAACAGTACACATAAAGGAAAATCGATATCCAGATTTAATATTTCAGCTTTACCAGCCATGATACGAGACTTGCTTGCGAATCTGAAGAGCATGACGGACTGAAGATATCCATTGTATTCAGCTAACGGCATTTACCAAGTAACATCGTCTGAGGACATTTACATTAGTTCAAAGATTGCGAAGCACTCAAGGATGCCAACGAAGAACTTTCAGTGAAGCTCGCGTTCATATAAAAGAGGTGGAGGCTAACAGTTTACTGCATGTGAAATTATGATCTTAACTATGTTTACATTTGTCGTCCCCGTTTTTACGAATAATTTCAAGGGCTCATTTTCCCCCATTTGTGACTTTTTTACCGAAAAGTAAAATTTTTGCCTTTATGTAGTGCTGTAAACATTCGAACTTTGCTACGCCACTATCCTGGCTACCAGAAGCCAGCAAACTCATTGTTTGATTGTTTTGCCTTTAAAATAGAAGTTTTAAAATTTTGTTATACCCATATAGATTATCGCATATTATTTCTTCCTGTTTTTTACTCAAGGGGCAATCACTTCAGATTAATTCCTGTTTTGTCAGAACAGATAACATTTTATATTTTACATAGAACTTTTCTTTAATATTTCTCCATATATGTTTTCTTTTAACGTTTCTGCATTTTTGTATTGCTTTTAGTATTGTATAGTAGTTTGCAAGCTCACCACTTTCGATTTCTACAAACAAACCTCTTCACATATTCCGGCCAGCTTTCTCCATCTCCCTGTCCTTCTGCAGCTGCCCCAGACATGGCTTGCTGATCACCGAAGCTCAGGGCTTCACTTCTCGTTTTCTTTTACAAGCTATCTCAACTGGAGATAGCTTCATTTTTGGACTTTTACATATGTCAGGACCCTAAGGGGGATTCATTCAGAAATCTGGAAAGAGCAGGAGTAATGCATCTCCCACTGCATGCCAGAATAACCTACAAAGTATCAAAGTCTTATGCATCATGCTCTTTCGAGTTTTCTTACCCATGTGTGTTTGACTAGAAAGACCACGAGTAAACTCCGGTAACCGTTACAACAATGCCCAAATTTTTTTTTACATAGCGGCAAAATGTAAGGCTTCCAATTTTGATAAGAAATGCTTTTCCGTTTGAACATAACGAGAATCACTCACATTTTCCCTACAGTTAAGAAAAACCCCTAAAATGAATGTGAAGCTAGACCTTTTAGAGGGATATGAACTGCTACTATTCAGATGTTTGATCTGTTTGGCGGACAAGCACGCCAGTTGCTGTAGTATGAAGTCCCGGAGAACGGGCTGGCTACATGGGAATCCTCGTGGTTATGCCCACGAGCCAGCTTTTAGAGAATGCACCACGAAGGTATCCTTTCCCTTAGACAGCATAATCAAATAAACCAAACCATGATGTGGAACACAATGACCTGACAAAAAATGGAAATTTCAAAACTCAATACTGAAACTTAAGTATACAATGATTTCAGAGGTTTACAGAAGTATTGACCAATTTCAATGATTTCTCCTGTTAAAAGAAATCTTCAATAGAGGCACATACATTACGGGCTATTAAACTTCACAAAGTTAAATTGAAACAAGGACTTTAATCATGAATTTATTCCAATGTTGAGTCCTTGTCATTCTCCATTTCAAGTGATGAAAGAACTTAATCAAGTCTGCAAGGAAGATTGCTATTTACCGAATTTTCATGCTGTCAAAGTATTAAAAACTTAAAATACTTAATGTTTTCAAGTTACAACTTTCGGTCGTCATTAAAAGTTAAATACTTGAACGAATACATATACGTCACATACTTGCTTTTGCATGGATATTGGGTTGTTCTACATTAATGTTTCTAAATCTGTCAAAGGTTTTCATTTAAAATACTATACTCTTTAATTACAAATACAAATTCTTTAGCATTTTAAGTGTAAATTTAGTCCCTTTAGTGTTGTCAGAGGATACTGTTCAACATCCATGTTTAAATTTAGACAGACGTTACATTTATAAAACTTCTATTTACTTTGACGAGGACTACTAATTTTAAAATCTTAAGATTTCAGATTTAAGCCAAACTTAGAATTTTTTAAGTTAATGGTAAATATTACCTTTGTCATATACTAGTAGCTATGAAAAGTTTCATTTCTGAAGTAATCCGAATACACTATTTTATCAAATATTGACATGAAATGAAGCGAAAAACTTAAGATACTTTAATGCGTTATTGAAAACTACTGAAATAAAAGAAATGCTTCATTGACAGTCCTTTCAAGATGGAATCATAATCAAGCGGTCTGAACCTTCCTTCCTCAAGGTGTAAATTGAATTATACCAATTTTGCTTCAAGACAAAATAAAGGTATTTATAGAAAATGAACTACCATTTAAAGAATTTATTTTTATTACAACTTGCAATTTTATAACAACAAAATTTAATTTCTCATTCATATTCTCGGTTGGAATTAAGGATATCGATGAATAAACATTTTGAGGAACAAAAGGTTAAGTGCCGTGAGTTTCATAATGTATTAAATTCCGAAAGTGTTTGCAAAGTAATTTATCACCTGTACAAAAAATCGAACAGTTACATTATCTCCCGTTCTACTGGGCTGAACGACGACAATTTGAATTTTTCAAGTGTCGAAAACGCGACTTAAGACAGATTTCTTTATAGTATTGTTCTGACATAAGAATTTTGACATAAAATTTGACCTTCTGAAACGACATTACCTATTTTCCCGTATTTATATTGTACGATTAAAAAATCAAAATCCAACCGAAATCAAACGAGTAATTTTTAAAATTAGCTCTTCAGTAATAAATCTTATTAAACTTTACTCATTCTTTTACAGATGGAAATTTAGTTCTAATAAAATATGCAACTGTTTCCATATTTGCTTTTTACTGTTATATTTTTTAGTAATTGTTATAAATTCAAAAAAAAAACATTTTTAATTAAAATACCTGTAAAAAATTTAGCATTAGATGTGCTTCTAGATAGAACTGTGGAACGACGAGAGTTGCCGAGTTTCTTCTTCCGTTCGTGCATAATGTAAAAAGGGAAATGAAACTAGATTGTAAATTAAGAATTTAGCAAAGGGAACCATGTTTGACGCAAACAAAATTGCACCAATATAAATTTTTAAATTTCTCATTAAATTTAAATAAAACGATCGGCGTGTCTCCATCAAAAAAATATCGGTCACTTGTGTCAAAATACATGTGTTAGAAGAATGCTATACTTAATCTAACCTATATATGTCGTGCTTTTGAGACATGAAACATGCAAGTTGAATATCATTAATCAGCCGACTAAAAAGGCGATATAGAATTTATCTTTTGTGCAAAGTGTATCTCAATGGATCAGAATTTGTTATCTCTGAATTGGTTGTTTGGTTTACTTTTATCGATATAAAACCTTGAAGATTATGATGCGCCAGACATTCTCTCCGAATTTAATTAGAAACTAGGAACAGACGACACCAGAATTAATCTACAAATTTTATTTGCAACAAAAATCAAAACTTAACATGCTAGCAGAAACAGTTATTCCATTGTCCTCCTCCAGAAAATCAAATTATAACCAGGTTGAGGAATCAATCGTCGAAAATCTGAAAGAAAAATCAAAATTAAGTGCTCTACGTAAAATCAACAATCGCACATAGTACTTTGTTATAAACAAACATTGTCAGGCAATCAGTGTTCGAAAGTTTGTCTTAAAATGACAAATGAATACTTTTCTTTGATGTTTCCATGACAATTTCTCTTGACGGCAACTCAAATTAAAATATTAAACTTCAAATTTATGCTAAAGTAAGTATTTTGCTAAAGACATTACTATTTTAACTAGACAGGACAAGCTCGCATTAACTTTTCAGAATGTAAAATTTGAGAAAGTTAAAATCACTAATTGAATTATGTTTTATTGAAATTTGAAAAATGGTTTATCATGAGTCTTCTTTCAGAACTTTGTTCATGTTTAATTTGCAGCATGAACGAAGTTTCGTTTCACAAAAGTAAATACTTTATATTCCAATAATGTTGCAAACTCGGGGCATTTATAAAAAGGTTCAAGTCACTTTTCACCTTTCGCAAATTCTTTCACTTTTATTACCTCTACAAAAAAATCCGGTTTAAACAATTTTACCAAAAATTTACTATAGTAACTTTGAGTATATCCGATTTCTGGCAATTTGTTTTTACACACAACCTAAAGAAAATTCCGAATAGGAAAAACATAAAAACACCAGATTTTTGCAGTTAACTCCGATTCTAGCATACGATTTCGAAAAGTCGAAAAATTTAGATTATCAACTTCTTCTGCAAAGTAGGCATTTTCTGTTGTAAAGGTGATTGTGCATTTTCTCAACGTCTTAAAATAAATGTTGTGCATAAATTGCATAGTTTCCATAACAAAGGGAAAAACACCTTTCGATAAAATTAGGCCGAAAAAGCTTACAGGTTTTTAGTTCAAAGAAATTTAAGCAGTAAAGGTAACTCACTTTACAATTAAGCACGTGATACTGCTTTTATATTTTCCACACTAAATGCACACCAATCAACTCCGATCCCCCTATCATAACGGATTGTTTTATTTGATTACGGCAAAGCTACGAGGGCTACGTGCCAAAGCGGATGATGCCTTCGTGGAGGACTTTGAGCCAACTGGCTCGTGTACACATTGGGATTTGAATCTCGGACAGAACTACCAGTGTTCAGCGACTTAACACATTGAGCGTGGCGCCGAATTTGCTGTCCTTTCCGTTCAGCCGGCAGCGAGCTAAGCTGCATTTTTGTTTAGAATGTTTCAATACATTTCATTAAAAGTAAAATTTGATCACATTTCATTGAAACTACATTTTTTAACTTTAATACTGTCGGTCCCGCGGACCGACGCCAGCCAAACGAAAATTCCAGTGCCGGCCCCAGGGACCGACGCCGGCCGCGCTCAACGTGTTAACCGTTCGAAAGCCTGGTGGGCCTATAATAACGATGCTGACATCCACTGATAATTCACAATCCCGCTTGAAGGCAGTTGAAACAGTAATAAGTTTAAATATTAATTATAATTTACAGAAAAGTATTGTTAATAATTACCTTCGTTTTCAAGCAATATAATCAGCATCATGTACTTACGTTAACTTAATCTATATTAAAATAACGGATTGAGTATTAGAAATTAACGGTGTGTATTAACTGCTGCTATCCTACACATTTGTCTTTATTTCGTGAAGCCAATTTTGTTCTACGCTGGTGTTATCAAAATTGTTTCCTATTTAGAAAACAAATTTTTAAATAAGCCAGTTAATCCACAACTCCGTTAACTGGGAGTACTGTTAGGTTTGGTTTAGAACAAATAGTTGTACTAAATAGCATAGACCACTGAGATGGCAGCTCGTAACGTCCACATCTTGGGAATGGAAAGTATGGGGGAAGACTAGCTGCACATAACTAGAACCACCGTTCTTGCCATGGTCCGTACAGGCTCGACAAGAAATGTAAGGGTACTGACATATCTGTTTCGGGACTGTATGACGGCTAGATGTTAATTATAAAATACTGTTAGAGAGTTTTCTCCTCCCGGGATCGCCTCGGGATTGGGGGTCCATTATAACCGTCAATGGGCTACTTTGCCTGGGTCCCAGTGGACATCGACCTGGTGTATTGTCGGTATCTTGGAAGCCAGCTAATCCACAACTCGGTTAACTGGGAGTATTGTTAGGTTTGGTTTAGTAACAAATAGTTGTACTAAATAGCATAGACCACTGAGATGGCAGCTCGTAATGTCCACATCTTGGGAATGGACAGCATGGGGGAGATTAGCTGCACAGGACTAGAACCACCGTTCTTGCCGTGGTCCGTACAGGCTCGACAAGAACTGTAAGGGTACTGACATATCCGTTCCGGGATTGTATGATGGCTAGATGTTAAATATAATTAAATACTGTTAGATTTCTCCTCCCGGGATCGCCTCGAGATTGGGGGGCCATTATAACCGTCAATGGGCTACTTTGCCTGGGTCCCAGTGGACATCGACCTGGTGTATTATCAGCATCTTGGAAGAGTGACACGATGCACAGTAATAAACAGGTTACGTACTCAAAAAATTTCAGGTATAAACTTTATTTCGAAAGCGGGACCATCTACTAGATGATTCATCAGAAAATGTTGTAATCGGCATGACAAAATTTAAGTTTATCATTTCGTTATTATCTGGAAAGGAGCTGGATGGAAATAAAGAAACGACGACGATTCATTTGTAATAATTATGCTTAGTTACATAAAGTTTCATTCCTTCTCCCAACTAGCGGATACTTGCTAGCTAAGCATTCGTGAGTAGCCGAACCAGTCTGTCGTTTAGTCATCTCAGAATCAAAGTCTTTCGTAAGGGTGTAAATACTATAATGAAGTAGCATTCGTGAGTAGCCGAACCAGTCGGTCGTTTAGACATCTCAGAATCAAAGTCTTTCATAAGGGTGTAAATACTATAATGAAGTAATGAAACAGGCTAGAAAATTGCATACACCCTTCTCAGGGATTCGAATACGGGCACAACACTATAGAACTGCGTCTTCCTTAACGATCATACTGAACAGCTTAACATTTTATATGCATTAGATGGAAACTTATGTTCTTACCTCCGTTATACAATTCTAGAATATCTTTTGAAAAGTCCCTTCTTCCTGATATGTACAGCATCCAATACAAGCCACGTTCAACATCATTTGCAACACCACCAATTGAATAGACGAAGGGCACTGCTCGTGACACATCATACCGAAACCTTAAATTGAAGGTCAAAATAAACTGAATGAATGTCAAAAATCAACAGATAAGAGGTCAGGTTTTCAAGTAATTTAATGCAGAATACTTACTCGTAAATGGAGTCTGCTTTTGCAGCTAGTTTCATAATGTTAAAAAAATTGCTGCCATTAGCCACCTTCAACTGGATTGTATGGGAAACTTCTACCGGATTTCCAAAATATAAAGAATATTGAACGTAGATCCTATTCGTTTTTGAGCTCGGTGCTGCTTCTAAAGAGAAACGTGAAGACAATGAGACGTTCAGGAGAATAATAAAATAAGGTACTGCTTGATTGGCTACTCAAATTATGAGCAGCATTGGTTTAGTGTTATCATCGAGTCTGTTAGCTAATATTATCCAACATAGCTTAAATTTAGGACGTCTATTAACAAGGTAATGGCTTGTCAGCACGTACATTGATATTTTATACAATGCTGAAATAATGTCAATTCAGTAGACTAATTATGTGTTCCCACCAAATTATCAGGCATACAGCATTTCAAACTACTCCGAGTTATTTACCTCACAATACTAGCTATAGTAAATATTATGGTATGTGCACAGCAAATTCTATAATTCTATGCAGATATGAATTAATACATCTCTAACATTTGTCATTGCTAGTAACATTGCGTTACTCGTAAACACTTATTCAGCGATATATTGCTTATGTTTTTACTAAGCAAATATGTAAATGGGTAAACTCATCCATTTCCTTCACTTTTGATATCTTACAATATGAAGAATTATCTCAATTTGTTGGCTGCTTTTATCTGCTAGCTTTCCCAAATTGTTTAAATTTTTGTAACGTTTTCCAATAAGCTAATAGTACCACAAGTGGTTGTAATTCGACCCAAGTTGGAATTCTAGCCAGACTGTTCTAGGATTATCAAGATCCTCCCATGTAGAATGTAAATACGAGACAGCTTCCTTATAAAATCATTCACGAAAGCAGTGTTCTCCTCAGAGATATCTGTGTACTTTGCCGAATTCGAATACACAAACCAGTTCATTTACCTAAACCTCTTTAGATACGAGATCCTACGCAACTCAAACTGGCGTATTTCAGAGACGTTTACATTTCTCAAATAGAAATCGCATTAGGTATTACGATAGATTTAGTATATGTAAATCAGACTATTTAGCAAAATTACGAAATTTATCCGTCGAGCATAATTTAATCAGTACATATTATTTAAGTTTTGACTTGTATTAAAGATGAAAAGCAGTTTAAAATTAGAGAAGTTTTACGTCTCGGATATAGTATTTTTAAAAAATAAGACTCACTTTAAAAACAGCTATTCGGACTGCGATTTAATTTAAATTCCATGGAAAAGAATATTTAAGGTGCTAAAATGAAATCATTTCTCGATCCATAAATTTGCGATTGAAAGAAAGACCCAAGTCTTACCCAAGTCTTTTCCAACTAAAATTAACTAACATAGCCTAAAAAAACCATTGGAATTTTGCATAGAGGATATTTCTGAAGCAAGTACTATCAGTTCAAACGGAACTCGTACGCTTTCTTAACTTTACGGAATGATTGCTCAAAACATACTCAGGATTATAAAATCATGAACAATTTTCCCGAGCCTGAGCACCTTCTGCGCTACTATAAACATTTCAATGGCATTATCAATTTCAATTTGTCTTTCATCTCAAATTGCTACCATTTGTTGCGCTCTTTCAGCAGTTATCAGCCGCGATTTTTTGCGCCATTTTACTCTTAACTTCAAGGAATCTGTGCAAACTTTATACCTAAATTTTACAAAATCTCGGTTTAATCTTTGGTAACGTTCAGGTAATTAAATGTTATCAAATAATGATTAGAAACAAATTAATTTGAATTATAAATTTTGAATGCAGTAATACTTACCGAATTGATTTAATTTTACAATAATTTTTTTCTGTACTACCATTTAAGAATTTTAGTTTTTAGGATTTGTAAACAGTACTTGTACAGAGTGAATAATTATTCAATTTATAATGAATACTCAAAATTCAGAAATAACCATAACATTACGAAACGTGATAATTAGATGCGCGTCTTAAGGACTTTAAGGAACTCAAACGTATTTCTGCGTTCAAAGCTATAATGTGCACCTGGAAAGAGGGGCAAATGTTGAAGAGGTAAATTTTAGAACTGCAATACTTAGAGTGGTGAAAAATAAAAATTTCGTTAAATTCCTTACAAAAACAAGAACAATTAAAAATCAAATAGCATCGACCTAGTGAGTTAAAAAGTGTAGAAAAGGAGATGCTTGTACTACAAAATTATCCTCTCGATTTAAAAAGAACTCCTATACTTCAGATATTTCTAACTAAGAGTTATCATAAATGGAACAACTACTCGTGGTTTGTGGATGAAAATTCTGAAAAATTATGAGCATTGATACTAGGTCATGACAGCTATTAACCGATTTATTTAAGGGGTGTTGGAACCCAAAAAATTGTGATTTCGGATTTTTGCATTTTCAAATTCTCTACACTTTTATCTTTCTAAAAATATTCTTTAATCTTTTAAGAAAATTAGAACTGTAAAAAAATCTAGTTTTAATTTGTCATCTACTGCTTTGATCTACGAGGATTTTTACATAAAAACGAGTTTCTCTCCAAACGTGAGTTTTTTTATACTCGATGTACCTTTTCTCAGGAACTACTGCTCACAGGTACCTAAACGTTGTATGGCTTTTTTTATTAAGTTCCCTAATCTTTACTGAAATGAGCTTTTTGTAATAAACTTTGAAAAAATTTTTAATTTTTTGTGAGAAAAGTGCTAAATTTTACTATACCTAACAATGTTCTATAATTTACTCTAAAATTCGAAATGCTTCAAAAACTTATTTCAGTATAATCAGGTAGGTATACTTCAATTACAGAAAAAATTTCAAGCTTGTATCTACAGCAGATTTTGAGAAAACGTACATCGAAAATGGCCAATTTAGCATTGTCGGTATAGGGGTTTCTGATACCCCTTAAATCGGTTCAGTAAGTCTGGGTGTTAAGTAATGCCGTGTTTTAACATTATCGAATCTACAAAAAAGGAATTTTTAAATGACTTTAATTACTTTTGACGATAGATTTAATGCTTGCATGCAAGGGCTATTTGGCAGAGGAGAAAGAAGTCTTGAAAAACTTAAATCTTATTCCCATGACTTGTATTCCTTATAATGCGATGTCTGTCATACATGATTTGGTTTAGTTTATTACGGTAAGGCACACTAGCGATATCTGCCCAAGGGAAAGGATGGCCTCGTGAAAGACTTTCTAAAAGAAACTAGCTCGTATACACGTCATGCATCGAATTCGAACCTAGGTCGAAACTCTCATTGTTCAGCGATTTTACTGCTCTGCAGCTGGCGGGCCCGTTATACATTGAGAAATTAGACTTCCTCTGCAGGCCGATTTAATCAATCCAGCCGGGATTCGAGCCCAATATTAACCTTTTAAGGCCGGGGCTTTGGTAGCAGTAAAAGCTACCAAAGGACGGGAAATCTTGAACCGAATGCTTTCCCCCCTATAAGAAATTACCTCCTATTTGCAACAAAGATTCTTGTGTGTAGTCTAATGGATTCTCAAAGGGGTGAATCTATGTCGCAAAAGGAAGATCTTTGAAAGAGATAAGTGGTTAAAACCCTAAGGACGTCAGATTTGACATTTCACCACACTTTTCAATCTGGAAAATGGGGGAAAATGACATGGCCACTGAAGTGGACAACTCCGTCTTTTCAAAGAGAGGACCCTTTGGCCAGTATAATGGCCATCCCGTCTTCAAAAGGTTAAGTAGTTTTACTCTTGGACATTACATAGGTTACTTAAAATAAAGCGTCCAAGCGCGAATGAGAATTATTCCAGAATGAAATACCCTCTTCTGCTATCTAATGTCCAGCAACTTGCTAGGAAACATTACTTAAGAACAGCCGACTCCAATAATCATTCAGCTATGTCATCATTAAAAGCAATCTCCAAGGTGCATCTCAAAGAGTAGTCCCAAATCCCATTTACAAGAGGGGAATACACACATAATGTGAAGCTACACACGGGATTCGAACCTATACCGTTGGTTTGACTCTTTGCTAACTAGCCTATTCACGGCAGTATCCTGACCAGTTTGGTTTAGTTGGTTATGGCAAAGCTCTCGAGGGTCATCTGTCTAAGGGGAGGGATGTCTTCATAGAGACGTTCTAAAGAAATAGGCCCGTATGCATGTTAAACATAGAAAAAAAGACGAAAAAGTCCATGCAGCCAGACCGTTCGTCTGGAATAGGGCCAAGAATAGAACTGCCAGTATTCAGCGATTTTACCGCTTAGCCGCTGGTGGACCTGCATCCTCACCAGATTGCAGGCAGTTTTGATTAATAATGTCATGTTTAATGAGAAAGTTGCACTTGTTTACCAAACATTCAAATATTTCATTTCTAGTAGGGAAGTAAAGTCATCTTCAAAAACAGACACATTAGTAAATGATTTCAAGGAATCATTTATGCTAATCTTTTAATTCCTTTAAGTGGTGTTGCAAAACAATTGTGCATAATTAGTATGGCTGGATGCTGTGAAGCCCTAAAAGCACTGTAAGTATAATTTCACATCTATGACACAGCTTTACCAAAATACTGAATTTAAAGTAGCTATACGCTATAAATATCGAAATTAAATACATTTCTAGATGCAAGATCATGTATTACCAACAAGATGCAAAATTTTGATATCCAATACGTTACCCTTGAAAAGGCATGCAACAGTTGGTTTCAGTTAAAATGATATGAAGCGATCCTAAACTTGCTACGATTTCCCCATTAATTTCAAAATTGCCAAACAGCTGCATCAGTTGGGCTGGAATTAGAGTTTCCTTTCCACTTAATTTAGAAATTTAAAGTTCTTTACTGTAGCCCAAAATCGCACATTTTTGTACATTTTTGCAAATTTATCATAAAGGAGTTTAACTTGAATTATATTTTATCGAAAGTGAGATGCTATTCATAAACTCATTTGGTAATTCAATAAAATGACATGAAATCTTACTTACCTACGCTAAAATTAGAGCAGCGAGATCCAAGCGAAACCAGGGATCGACCAGCTAGAACAGGCAGTACGTAATAAGTTGATAGTATATCTCCAAAAGAACCATTTGCATCTTGGCTACGCAAAATCATTTCCAATGCTTGATCTCTTTTCCAGAAAGTATTATTAATATGAGCTTCATTTAGGGCCTAAGGAAACAACCTTTTTAAAATGTTAAATTTCAAAATCATTTTTTAACATTCTTTGTTAGAGCGTGTCTATCCTGAGCAAAGAACAGGCATGTTCATACTTATTAGTTTTATTAGAGGTAAGCCAGTAACGAACTGACAATTGAAGTAATTCTCCCTTTGGAATGATTAAAGATGCATGTATTTATATTTCACATTAAGAAATCGCTGCAACATGGAAGTACCCTCAATGCTTCAAAACTTTCTTTAATGTTACGTAATTCAACTTTTTTCAAAATACTTAAAGTGCATAAAAAGTCATAATCTGAACAAAAATAGTGCTTAACAAGTAAATGTAAAAGACTTGTACGGCCACCCTGAAAACAAATCCGAGTTTTTATAAACACGTTATTGTTGCTATTTAACTCTTTCGCATCGAAGTCGCCCGTAGCGCCCGTTCATTCAGGCAACGGCAAACCGCCCCAACGCCTCGTTTGTTTTCTATATAGTTCTTTCCCCTCCACGTTAGTGTATGGCTCATTGGTTTCGCGAGTTGTTAAAAGACATGTCAATCATTCTTTTGAAGCAAATAAAGGAGAAATACGGAAAGCTATTGACATTCGCAGGTGCAATCCGGCCCTAAAGTGAAACTGCACACAATGGATGACACCACAGAAAAACCTCCAAGAGCAGCAAGGGGCAAGGGAAAACTATTTTAAGAGAAATTCGTAAACATGGGCGTTTTCGATGTTTGTTGAAAACAGATTTGGTAGTCTCTCGATGCGAAAGAGTTAAAGTGCTCCAAGAGACTCGAGCATCGAATCAATAGCATTACTGGGCTTTATTTGCATTCGCCTCAGGTTTCAGTAAATTTATTAAACGAATCTGAAGTTCATTTTATGAAGAACTGACTACATATTAAAAGCATCTATGGAGAATTCGTCATCCAAGTTGTTCACAATATATCATCTACTTTCCATTTAATATATTGCATTTCTTAACATTAGCGCCGGCAGAGCACCCAAAGTTTCACACTTAAATCACGAACTGAAATAAGAGTTTTCGGTACGCTGTAATCTTAAGGATAAACGTTTCTGTACCGAATATAATTGTAGGTTTTCGAAGTACAATGCATACGAATTTCATTTATCAATTCTAATAACTTCAAATGCACAAAGTTAATGTATAATGATGCCTTAACAAAAGTTACACTTCAGTTTCGTTCAACACATTATTTCAACTTTCAATCAAAAACAGAGCTAAGCAGACTGTCCTGTAATAACAGCTGCGATAATATTTAACACGGGTTATAAAACAAATTCAAAAGATAGCCCGTTAACAAATGAACAGAAACACAGGCGTTGGACAAAAATATGGAAACACCTTTAAAAAAACATGTTTCTTTCCTTAATATGGTGTAGGAAACCCGTTGGCTTCCAAAACAGCTTGCAGTCTTCTCGGAATGGATACAGTTCCTGTATGTTTGCCAAAGGTATATTATACTATTTTTCCTGCAAAACGGTGGCAAGTTCAGATAACGATGTTGGCGGTGGATAACGAGAACGCACTTTTCGTTCCAATGTAGACCACAAAGGTTCGATAATATTCAGCTCTGGTGACTGTGGTGGCCAGGGGAGATGGGGCAACTCATCCTCGTGCTCAGAAAACCAGTCCTGGACAATGAACTGTGTGAACAGGGGCTTTGTCGTCTTGGAAGACACCATCACATCGGGGAACAAAGTTTGTACCATGGGATGAACTTGATCGGCCAAAATGTTCACATAAGTCTTGGCAGTCATGTGCCCTGACACAGTTATCATGGGGCTAGCAGAGAACCACGATATCGCTGTCCAAACCATAACAGAACCCCGCCATGTTTCACTCTTGGCAACAAAGCAGCCTGTATATAGGCTTGAGGTGGCGTTCTCCAGACGTAAACTCGGCCAGAAGTGGGAAACAATGTGAAAGAAGACTGGTCAGACCATATTACTCGCTTCCACTGCTCTATAGTCCAGGCTTTATGACTTAAACAAGACCTTTTCCTGTTACGGGCATTAGCATCACTGATGAGTGGCTTCTCAATTGCAGCACGGCCAGCAATTCCCTGTTTATGAAGCTCCCTTCCAATTGTTTTGGTACTCTCAGGGTTCGGTAACACAACATTCATTTCAGCACTAACTTTTTCAGCCGTGGTCTTATTTTTCGCCACAATTGCCCTTAATGATCGTCTGTCACGATCACTCAGGTTACACTTTCGTCCGCGCTGTGATTTAGCAGATGTTTTTCCGCTTTTCAAATATACGGAATAAATCTTCGATACAGTACCTCTTGAAACACTAAACACCTCGGCTACCTTGCTTACGGAAGCACCTACCATACGTGCTCCAACAAATTGCCCACGTTCGAAGTCTGTTAACTCTGACATAATGCAATGACAACCTCACATAACAGTACTCCGACAACTGAACTGTTTAGCACATTTACGAAGTTGTATAGGTGGCGTCAGTAATCAAAAATGCCAGCGCCACCTATATATTTCATTACAATCAATCTTTCTTTGCAAACATGCATTTCACAAGGTGTTTCCATATTTTTGTCCATCCACTGTACATTATTTGTGTAACATTTAGCATTTTAGTCCAAGCATCAATTTCTATTAAAAAGTTGCTTCACTTTAAAAATAATACATATGGAAATATAGACAATCAATTATGGAGTTTAGGTTATTTGAATACGACAAAGCTAAGAAAGATTAAGAGAAACTTGTATTCACTTTCATGCAACAAGTTCATTCATATAAGTTCGAAGAGAGGACAAAATACCAGTATTCAGCAGACCCCTTATTGGCAGGACCACTGCTCATCAATTTATATACGAGATTTATATGAGAAAGGTAAGGAAGTGTCCATTAAGAAATTTCATTTCTATTGGTTGTTAAAGAAAGCTACGTATTATAAACAGTTTTCAGGGTTAGTCGACTCGTTGATTTATAAGTATTTCTAAATTTATATCCTTTTATTTGACGTAGCAATTTTGTTGCGAACTGCTGTTCTTCCGAATAATGTAGATACCCTTTTGTGCATGTTCTTTAGTTCATTTTATTCGTTTCTTTATTTTTATTATTTTTTAGTTTTTTTTCATTTTTAGTTTTTCTTTTTAGTTTTTTTTTCGTTTCATTTTCTTTTTAGTTTCATTTTTTTTATTTTATTTTAGTTCATTTCTTTTTAGTTTCATTTTATTTTTAGTTTCATTTTATTTTTAGTTTCATTTTATTTTTAGTTTCATTTTATTTTTAGTTTCATTTTATTTTTAGTTTCATTTTATTTTTAGTTTCATTTTATTTTTAGTTTCATTTTATTTTTAGTTTCATTTTATTTTTAGTTTCATTTTATTTTTAGTTTCATTTTATTTTTAGTTTCATTTTATTTTTAGTTTCATTTTATTTTTAGTTTCATTTTATTTTTAGTTTCATTTTATTTTTTAGTTTTTTTTTATTTTATTTTTTTTTTTATGTTTTTGCGTTCATTTTCATTTTATTTTTAGTTCTTTTATTTATTTTTAGTTTCATTTTATTTTTTTATTTTAGTTTTTCGTTTCATTTATTTTTTTTTCATTTTTTTTCATTTTATTTTAGTTTCATTTTATTTTGTTTCATTTATTTTTAGTTTCATTTTATTTTCAGTTTTATTTTAGTTTCAATTTTATTTTTAGTTTATTTTAGTTTCATTAGTTTCTTTTATTTTTAGTTTCATTTATTTTTAGTTTCATTTCATTTTCATTTATTTTAGTTCATTTCATTTTAGTTTCTTTTCGTTCATTTATTTTTGTTTATTTTATTTAGTTTCATTTTTTCATTCAGTTTTTATTTCATTTTTTCATTTTATTTTTAGTTTCATTTTATTTTTAGTTTCATTTTATTTTTAGTTTCATTTTATTTTTAGTTTCATTTTATTTTTAGTTTCATTCGGTTTATTTGATTACGGCATCCGAGGACTAACTGCCTAAGGGAAGTGATGCTTTCGTGGATGGAATTTCAGGGGAACTGGCTCCAATACACATTACATATGGGGGAAATTTACGAAAATAACCATATAGCCAGGTTGTTCGTCTGGATTCGAGCCCCAGACCGAACTACTAGTGTTCAGCCATTTCACCGCTCGGTTACTTAAGGGAATTTTATTTCTAATCTTATTAATGAAAACCGATCAGTCAGAAACTATGATATGGGCTTACAACCTCCTTCCAGCCCTCCACAATATTTATTGCCAAATTCGAAAATTTCGCGCCAATCTTAGTGCCACGATTCTATTTTAGAACCCTGAGATTGTAACCGAGCTTTGCACCTAACGATTTGCTGATCTTGCATTTTAAAAAGAACTTGCCTTTTTTTCGGATTGAGGTATTTGCAGCTATTTGTTTTGTGCGAGTTGATATTTATCTCCATACATACCAGAAACTTTACTGCTCATTTGGCGGTATTATTAAATGAAACTACGAACCCGTAGCGTACGAAATCAATAAAGAGTTCATATAAATGCTACAAGCCGTGTCTAATGGTTTTTACATAGTCTTCATAGGGATAGTCATAAGATCTATACAAAATAAATTACCTGTGCAAGCAGTGCCAGTTCGTACACATTCCCTGGTAGCTCATTCCGTATGTCACGCAGAAGGTTTCGCAGTGAATGGTACTTTATTTCGATACCTTCAAATTTGGACATCCTCGCAGTACATATTTCTGCCAAAGCTGCCATTGCATGAAAGCCTGCCATAATACAAAGAAACATTAAAATGTACAAAAGCCTCCTGAAAAGTGTAGCAAAATTAAACAGTCAATGTTCCAAGCTGAAAAAAAATGTACACACAACAATAAATAAATAATGTGCACTCATAAATATACGTAAAATTTTAATATGGATTTTACCTTTTGAATAAATTCAGACATGCACTAGTAAGTTTGCTTCAGGTATATATTTTAAAGTATACCGGGTATTACATTCATTGTTCCATGCAACAGTTAACGAGGTTACTGAACATTGCTATTTTTCACATTTTCATCCAGACTACTCAACAAGTCTATGCTTGGAAGCCAGAAGAATTTTACTACAGAATTTTCCAAAACGATACTTGCTTTAAGACTTGTTAGCGAAAGTATAATTTTCATCTACAAGATTCAGTAATTTTCTATAATTTATGTAGCGCATTATTTAAAATTTTTGAAGGTTGGTCTTTTTTAGCTATTTGATATGGAGTTAAATTTAGGATGTACTTTTATGAGGGCGCAGCAATTCAGAATTTCAACGAATTTTAGGGAATATTGTAACGCATTTTTCAGGCGACCGTTGTCCGATAGCTCTTGCCAAACAGTGTTATTTAACGCCAGTAATGGATAAGCATAATCAGCATCTTCTTGGTTCCATGCAACACCGATTGGCCTCTACAAGCTACTGTAACTCTTGGTTAATTAAAGGAAGATGATCTGTTCCTGCCAAAATTCCGAAAAATTGACTATCATAAATCAAAGCTCACAACTCAGTTTTTATATTACATCATTAACTTGCATCTAGTGATTATAGAACTAAAATATCACGTGTATCTTCATTCAGTAGAAAGGATCGAAGCAAGCTTCGAAAGATTTCCGTCAACTTCCATGGTAGATGGCAGTGTGCATTAAGTAAGCAGATTAATAGCATTCTAAGAGTACATTAAGTGAAAGGATTCATTGGGGGTAACTGAAAAATAATCGAAGAGATCACTTCCCAAGATTTCATCATAAAGTGTTTCTGTTATACGAGCACCGACTTATCAACAGAATTTGAATTGGGTTATTCGAATTGTCAATTAGATCTTTTGCCAATCAATTGGATTATTTGCATTGTAAATAACCTGTCAGGTTATTTGACTATGGCAAAGCACAAGAGGGCCATCCATCTAATGGAAGAAGTGTTTTTGTGGAAGATGTTCTAAGGGAAATTGGTTCCAATTTACATTATACATGGAGAAATCCAAGAAAAGCAACTAGCATCGCCTGGTTTTGAATCGAGGACACCTACCAGTATTGAACAGGGTAACAGCCGAGATTGACGAGGATGAAGCAATTCCAGATCGAGGCTTTAAAAATATTAGGCATACGAGTGCGGGGAAAATAAAATGAAGCCAGTAGTTTGCAAGTCTAAAACGTACACGTAGAAAACGGCAAAATATCAAAAATTAAAACAAAGTTTCAGCTTTCAAATCATTCATTTAATAATTACATAAACAAAGTCACATTGTTACGAATTTTGAACATGGATAATTTGTGAAATGTGTGGAATTGTTGCATTTCTTTTGTATCATGTAACCTGAAAATCTAAAGAAACGATAGTATACAAAGGCAATTTGACCATTTCTCCTAATTGGCGAGATATCGCCAAGCTGGCGGTTGTTAGTTCAGAACGACTTTTAGTATTCAAAGCTTCGCCTTTTAGATGCTTGCGTTGTGTTTAAACATTCTTAATAGTTTGAAGTGTAACTAGTGATATTTACTGTTAACACCTGTACGGGTATTTTTGTTGAACGTTCCAAAACTCTGAAGTGTTTCTTTCGAGATAAAATGCACCTTATCATCGGACTTCTGTGTACTCAATCTATTACGATCTCGTACGTACGGAACAACATGTATCACCATCGTTAGTTGCAGCGAAAAGAAAACGATTTTCCAAAGAATTCTGTCCTGAAGCATCAAATGCATAATAGCGCTCACCGAATCAGTTAGGAAGCAACCGCAAGTTATAACCCGTTATTAAAGGAGACTCGTACACCTTAAACCCCTCATGATTTTCGAATATGTGACTGTTGCAAGAATTGGGATATTTATTTTAAAAGCAATTACTTCCAACTTTTTACAGCTGACTACATAATATAGCTGCTTTGGAAACTAGTAACCAGAAAGTTTGTGTTGCCACAATATTTTTGTAATTTAATCCTCTGACAATATTTCGCCATGTTTCCACCTTACGAGCATGATATTTTAAAAATGGCTAATGGTACATACTTGAAATTAGATGGAATTCTTTATATGGGCACTATTTTCTAAACTGAACAACAATCTGATGAATAATTTAATATTGAAAAATTTTATGGACGAAAACATTACAAATTTTTTTAATAAAGTACATTTTATAAACTCAACTCAAAATAAAAATTTAACATGAAATTTTTGGAATTTTAGGTTCACAGTAGTTTCCAAATGCTATAAAAGCTATATATTAAATATGGAATTAAATTATGAAACAATGTTTTAAACTGTGCGCACAAGTTGGAAACATGACGGAAAATAGTGTCACAAAGCGGATTAAATTATAAAAATATCTGTGGCAACACAAACTTTCTGATTACTATTTCAGAAAGCAGCTATATTATGTAATCAGCTGTAAGAAGTTGGTAGTAATTGCTTTTAAAATAAGTTATCCCAATTCTTGAAACAGTCACCTATTCAAACATCTTATGGGTTTTAAGGTGTACGAGTCCCCTTAAAATCTGCGGTTTCCCCAGATTGCGATGCTTGTATCTAGATAAACTATTTATGGATGAACGAGAATTTGTCATTTTAAAAACATCCGTTTCCATTTACAAAATTATTAAAGAGTTAGTTTGCATCAAGTAAATATATTACATGCAATTTTATGAGCTTTCTCATATCACCATAGGGAAAAGATGAGATGTGTTAAAGGTTAGAGTTTCCTTACATTTGGGATTAATCATTTAGTTCATAAATTATAGTGGTATTGAAGTCGTCACCTTAATACTTACTAATACTGTTTTGATTAGTATTATTGCTCAAGTGGAATTCTTCCAGGTTTTTCAGGTCGGTAGAAGATGTAGCATTGCTAACACACAGTGTCAAGTAAATTACTGGGCTCACAAAACGGCCAGTATTCCGAGCTGCATCCACTCTCTGCTTGAAGATTTCGATCAAATCTGTACCATGGAAGTTGCGTGGGTTGCCGCAAGTTGCTAGTAGGGCATTAATATATAACGCAAGTTCGCTCAGTGTCACTGGAGTTGTAGCATTCCTACAAGGAAACAAACGGTAAGGAAAGTGTGTTAAAATTAACAAATTACTTTAACTTCCATTTCTAGAAATTTCAGCAGATTTAAGAGATATGTACACTGTTATGAAGATCTCTGAACTTTCTGTAGATATATCTATATGCTCCAAAACATATACAGTCAAAAGTCTTTAAATCCGGACTCGTCGGGACTTCGGCGATTCCGGATTATCGATTTTTCCGGATTATAGATCATCTCTTTAAATCTGGTCAGATCGCACGCAGAAATTATAAAATTAAAAATATGAAACCGTAATTTATAAAATAATGAGCAATTATGATCTAAAGGGTATCAAAATTTACAAAAAAAAGCTTAATATTATTTTGTTTACTTTATTAAACATTTCTTTCAACGCGCGGATGCGTAAAGCATACCTTACGCATAGCCGAAATTAGAAAATTGCAACCAGAAAACTATTTGATGTGTATTCATGATATTTATAATGACGAGAAATTTGATTTTAAATCATATCAAAGACGGAGTAGGAGTACATCGAAATGAAATACTACATTTAGTAAGGAATTATAAGCCGAAATAAAATAAAAACATCTGCCCTGAAGATAACGGATAGTGCTGACAGATCAACTTCCAGTTCATTGCGCGCCGCGATCGTCCCCCCCCCGCGCAGAGCAGCGTGAAATTGATAAACAGATTTCGGAACGGTTAGATAAACAAAGAATATGCCTTTATCCATTTTTTGTAGCATCCCATTTTTTGTTTGATGGACATCGAAACATACTTTCAGTTTTTAGATCCTTTGGGAGCTCAGCATCGGAAATTCTATTTGACATAATCGAAAGTTCAAGCTTACTTTTATAAAATTGCTCTACAGTCTGCAAAAAATAATAAGCCGGATCCAATTCGAAGATTAAGGAACAACGCAATCATCAACGTTAACTGAAATAGATAGATAATTTTAGCTTATGCCGTCCGACGCGAAAACGTATTCTGCACTTGCGCAGACGCATATGCGCAGTCGTAAATGTCTAGACGCACGAGTAAAACGCCTATGCGCAAGCGTCAATGCGGCGCATGCGCAGAAAGATTTTAGCTTTGAGGTCCGGATTATAGATCATTCCGGATTATGGGTGTCCGAATTAACGACTTTTGACTGTACATTAGTCTTTTACATCTCAAGCTTCCGGCATCATTAACTACACAATGAAATTTAACATGCACGACTAAGTGAAAAATTACTTCTTTTTCTTCGATTATTTGCTAGATAATTCCTTAACGGTTAAATTGCTGTAGTTATGTAGAAGATTCAAATTTTATATAATCAAAATTTCCATTCAAAATCGATTTCGCAGCATAAAAATTATGGACCAAGCAAAATAACAATTTTTGAACTAGAAATTGTAGTGCTCAAAATCACATTTCAAGATTAAAACATTTTAGAATTTTTTCAAATTTCAGAGCAATGTTTAGCCCTATTAAGATTATAAAAATGTGCTAGAAACTTTCCTTTTAATTTGCCTGAACATAAACATTCGTCTAATTTATCAGTTCAATTACCATGCACCTAATAATCTTCAGTACACAAATATCAAATATTAGTGGTATATTGAAATATGCTTCACTAACCTGGTGAGAGCTACAGCCAGCTGAAGATGAAGTTGCTTCTTCATCAAGATACCCTTTTCTGTTTGAGTGCGAAGTGCTGGTAAATCGGATAAAGCTAGGGCAGCAATAACTCGCGACGTTTCCTCTCCCCAACCATCGTCAGCATCATTACGAGATAACAACCATGCTTCAGCTTTGTATCTCTGATCAGAAACCATTTTCACATCCATTTCTTCAAAACCAGATGTAGGCAATTCGAGCTCCAAATCTAAATTTTGTTTCGATTTGCGGAGTGAAACAAGATAGTCATTATCTGATAATATGTGGTTTTCATGAGGAAAAGCATTGAACCCATTTTGTACTTCTTGGTTTACTGCAGCAGGTGAAGGAAGAAATTCGGACGAAAAGTTGTAATTATCACTAGACAGCTGAGCTGTATTATAGGCTTGTGTAGTGACGCTTACATTCTGTTCTGTGAAGTCACTACGATTCAGTTTTTGTACTTGAGAGATACTGGAATTAGACGTCATTGCAAGATGTGTTGTTTCCTCCGGCACTTCAGAAGAATCTGAAAAAAATTAATGAAATTATTAAAAAATAGTGTTGGATTTCATAAACTTAGAGTTAAATGAATTGAAACAGCTATTGACATTTATTGCTAATTTTTTTGTGGATCAAGTACGATAAGGAAAATTATCAGATAACAATTTATATAAGCATATTCCAATCTTAATATTCAGTAGGATAATTTTTGGAATCCCCGAGTGGTAAATTTATAAGTTTTTATAAATTCAAAAGGGTAATAAAACGACATTTATGTTGCCTTAAATTGGGTCTTGAGCAGATTACTTTCCAGCACCTATTTTTATTTAAACATTCTCATTCTATCAATTACTCCTCACATTTTATAGGGAACGTTACATAGCGGTTCTTGGGCAAGTTTCCTTCAATGTCAGCCACATTTCGGTGATAAAAATCTTAAGGGATTCATTTGGATTATTCGAAGCACACGAGGCTATCAACCTGAAAGTATATGTACCTTTGCAAATGGCTGAATGAAGTTGGATCCTATAGTAGGCGTCAATCCCGGAACGAATTCTATTGTTTGGCGGAAGAGTCCAAGATTTGTAGGGATGTTACGCGAAAGTAGGGATGAGCTAAGAGGAGAGCTAAGAGGAGAAAGGAAAAGGGATTTTGAGTATAGGGAATTTCAGTCGTTCCGGGATTAATCGCCTACTATAAACGGGCTCCTGCTTTGAGAGGGTAGCTAGCGTTTCGTTAGTAAGTATATTATTCTTATTGATTGTCTGCCCTTTTTTTAAGTTACAATTTTCTACAATACCTCACGTAAATAAAAACTTTACAGTTACAAATATTCAATAAAACCTGGAGCATAAAAATAAGCAGTGAAACTCCTTCCACGGTTCGGGAATAAGTCAGCGAACATATCGCTTTTTTCCCTAGTACCCACTGAAAGCCATTCCACGATCTAATTATTTCCGTTGGAAACCATTCCGGAACCTTTCCTTTCTATTCCTCTCACCTGGGAATATTGAACTTACCCAGCTAACAATAACAGGCGTTTCGAGATTGACGGTCTAGTGGATCCTATCCAGGTAAACCCCAAGGTAAAACCACAAGAATTGACACTAACACCCCAAATTCGGGGCGGTGGTGTAACCCGAAGGTCAAACTATAAGTGAGAATTCCGGAGTAATGTACATAATGGGTAAGTTGCACTAGAAAAATAATTAAGAATTGCATAATTAAGATCACTTTCTTGCATGAAACAAACTTCTATAAAAGTTAAAACAAAGATCCAAGTCCTGACTGTTACCTCAAACTGGTGGAACTCCTCAAACTCCTGGGCAGAATGGGCGACGTACATCGGGGGTATCTCCTGGAAGGGCCACTCTAGGCGTGAAGACCATTCTATCATGCCCAGCTAAAAGTTAGGCACTCGGGTTTAAGTCAGTCTTCTCCATTTGGTGTCCTAGGTTTTTTGGCCAATTAAAGCTGCTACTTTCCCTTTACCTCTTTGTAGAACACCGACATATAAGAGGAATCTTCATTGCTTTTACTAACCAAACTAAACCCCTTTGTACAGACTTACCCAAGAATTAAAGTATTCACACTTTTCTGAAGATTCAAAGTTTATTTTCATAAGGATGAGAGTAACTTTAATTGGCGGCAGATTTATGAAGACAGTTCTAATAGTGTTCTCGTCGCAGAAAAGTGCAAACGATTTTATGACGGGGCATTCTCTGAACATTTTGATATATTCGCTGAACCAATCTTAATACCCATAAAATAATTCTATACTCACGACAATCAGTTTCGTCTGAAGAATCTCTACAAGAAGGAAAACCATCACATTTTCCTTCCATCGGTATACAAGGTCCATCTCTACACTTGAAAAAGTTGCTTCCGCACTTGTTTGGATCTGAAATAAAGATATTTGAAATAGAATGAGTAATTACTTCTCAAAAGTAAGACTTTCATCGCTAAACTTGTGGTTATCATAAGTTAAATAATTTGGCTAACATTAGTTTAAGCCAAGTAAATCGAAGGATTTCAAATAACAGTTTACTGAGGATATGTTTAACAAAGTACAGGAAAGCGAGCGAAAGCCGTATGCGTAAGAGGGTGATACCTCCAGGACAACTTTAAGAGAAACTTGCATTATACATGAAAAAATGCCAAAAATATCCAAGAAGCAAACCCATTCACCAGAACAAAAACCAGTGCCAAATTATCAGTATTCAGCGGTGCTTTTTTGCTCAACCATGTAAGCGAGCTATTTATTATGAAGAGTGTATTTCGTTCAATATTTTAACAATTGGATCATTAAATGAGTAATGCACCAGAAACTTGAGTATCTTTAAAGGTTCTGGCTTATTTAATAAGAGGAAATCTATTAAATAAAATATTAAACGCGTATTAAAATATATTTTCTCTTAGCCTCCAACGAAACATACAGTGGATGGACAAAAATATGGAAACACCTTGTGAAATGCCTATTTGAAAAGAAAAGATTGATTTTAATGAAATATGTAGGTGGCGCTGGCGTTTTTGACTACTGACGCAACCTATACAACTTCGTAAATGTGCTAAACAACAGTTCAGTTGTTGTCGCAGTACTCTTATGTGAGGTTGTCATTGCATTATATCAGAGTTAACAGACTTCGAACGTGGGAAAATTGTTGGAGCACGTATGGTAGGTGCTTCCGTAAGCAAGGTAGCCGAGGTGTTTAGTGTTTCAAGAGGTACTGTATCGAAGATTAATTCCGCATATTTGAAAAGCGGAAAAACATCATCTGCTAAATCACAGCGCGGGCGAAAGTGTGTCCTAAGTGATCGTGACAGACGATCATTAAGGGCAATTGTGACGAAAAATAAGAAGACCACAGCTGCAAAAGTTACTGCTGAAATGAATGTTATGTTACCGAACCCTGTGAGTACCAAAACAATTAGAAGGGAGCTTCATAAACAGGGAATTGCTGGCCGTGCCGCAATCGAAAGCCACTCATCAGTGATGCTAATGCCCGTAACAGGAAAAGGTCTTGTTTAAGTCATAAAGCCTGGACTATAGAGCAGTGGAAGCGAGTAATATGGTCTGACCAGTCTTCTTTCACATTCTTTCCCACTTCTGGCCGAGTTTACGTCTGGAGAACGCCATCTCAAGCCTATAATACAGACTGCTTGTTGCCAAGAGTGAAACATGGCGGGGATTCTGTTATGTTTTTGGGTAGCCATATCGTGGTTCTCTGCTAGCCCCATGATAACTGTGTCAGGGCACATGACTGCCAAGACTTATGTGAACATTTTGACCGATCAAGTTCATCCCACGGTACAAACTTTGTTCCCCGACGGTGATGGTGTCTTCCAAGACGACAAAGCCCCAATTCACACAGCTCACATTGTCTAGGACTGGTTTTCTGAGCACGAGGATGAGTTGTCCCATCTCCCCTGGCCACCAGTCACCAGACCTGAATATTATCGAACCTTTGTGGTCTACATTGGAACGGAAAGTGCGTTCTCGTTATCCACCGCCAACATCGTTATCTGAACTTGCCACCGTTTTGCAGGAAGAATGGTATAACATTCCCTTGGCAAACATACAGGAACTGTATCCATTCCGAGAAGACTGCAAGCTGTTTTGGATGCCAACGGGTTTCCTGCACCATATTAAGCAAAGAAACATGTTTTTTTAAAGGTGTTTCCATATTTTTGGCCAAACCCTGTATGTACAGTTAGTCACAAAAGTCAACAACGAAACATATGTAATATGTAAAGCATATGTAACGAAACGTATGTATGTAACCAACAACGAGACATATGTACAGTTAGTCAAAAGTCTGCGTACAGACTAAATTTTAAATTAAAAAGCACTTAAAGCATAGAAAAATGTATTTTAATCATTGCATTTTTTTCTTCTATTAGTTAAAATTGTAAGCTTAAATAAAAAGTAAATAATATCAGTGTAATACTTTACATTTTTAAAAAATATATTTTGTCAAAAACTCAGAAATTCCCTCCAATAAGTCTGCGTACACTTTCAAAAAAAAAAAAAAAAGCAAAATAAGTTTACATTAGTTCAATCCTTTATTCTTCAAAACAGCTTCCAGACCGTATGGGCATTGACTGAACTATTTATTCAGTGTCATCCGACGTAAATTTCGCTTATTCTTCCTGCAATTTACTAATTAGCTTATTTCGCGACGTAATATTGTGTTTTCGAATTAGTTTCTCCAATTTTGCCCACAAATGTTCGATTGGATTGAGGTCTGGTGACTGTGGAGGAGTACACAACTGTCTTGGAATGTGATAGAGGAGATATTTCTTCACAATTTCAGCTGTAGGTTTCGGGTCGTTGTCTTGTTGGAAAATAAAGGTATTAGAAAGGTTTAAATTTCCGGCACTGTCTCTTACAATTTTCTTCAGAATATCCAGATACACATACTTGTCCATGACTTTATCAATGTGAAAATTTCCAAGTCCTTTCGACGACATACATCCCCATACCATCACACCACCAACTCCATGTTTGACAGTTGGATTTAAATTTCTCAGATTCAGTTCTGTTCCTGGTTTTCTCCATACAATAGGGTGGCCATTATCTTTAAATATTGTAAATTTACTTTCATCTGATCAAATTACATTGTTCCAGAAGTTCTGCGAAGAGTTTGTGTTTTGGCAAAAGCAAGTCTTCTTTCTATTTGTCTCGGAAATGTATGGCTTAGACCTAGGTTTGCGTCCATGATAATCGGAATTTCGCAGCACTTTTTCGTAGTTTCAGGAGAAATTTCCTAGTTGCTAGTTAAAAAATGTCTTTTGCAATGCTTGCAGCAGAAAGTTTAGGATTTTGTTAAATTCGTAAAAGAATTTTTCTTTCTTCTCTCTGCGCTAGCTTCTTCGGTCTCCCACATCTCGGTTTTACAGCAAGACTACCAGTGTCAAGATAGTTTTGAATAACTCTTTGCATACTAGAAAATGGTTTTACAAATATAACGAAGATTACCTTCATCTCTCAATTTGATAATTAGTTATCTCGTAACTGAAGGAATTTTTTCATTGGTTGTCATTTTCTTCAAAGAAAATAGAAATAGGAACTTCCAATCAACGTGAAATTTGCTTCGGAAGTCAATGACCTTGAAAGTAACATTTGCATTCTCAAATTTGAAGTTTAAAAGTTACATAAGAAATCCCCCGCCTCCTTCGCGTTGTACGCAAACTTTATTGGCTTTGATTTCTGGCCACTTATCTTTTAAAAATTAGTGTGCATAAATTAGATATGAAAATATTACAGTTAAATAATTTTAAAGTCCCTTATTGAAACTAAATATTTAAAAATAAAACTTTAAGAAACTACCCTTTCCGCACTTTAAAATTTAGATTTGATATTACTTTTCTTGATGTACGCAGACTTTAGCGACTAACTGTATATAAAGTAGGCGGCTTGAGAAATCGTAGAAATTTACTATACTTCAAAACACGTTAAAAGATTTTCGAATAGTTATTTTTAAATTATTTGTTAAGATTTCAAGCTTACAGCTTCGATTTAGATGCTAGAGGAAATACAGGATTAAAACTATAAAATGGTTCAAAAGATGCCACAGATTTGTTACACTTAAAAGTATTTCACTACGTAAAATCAGTGCACCACAAAAAAGGAAGTTTGTGCGGAAACCATAAGACCATTACATCCTGAACAAAATTTTTAAATTTCTAGATCCAAAGGTAAGCTTTACTCAGCTAGCTGTTACTTACGAAAAATATTTAAATATACCATCAAATCACTAATGAAAGTTGAAGAAATATTAAGGTTTCAGATTAGATTGACCCAACGAAACATACAAAATTATTTGTATAGAGGAAGCAATGCCTTCGTGGAAGATATTTTAAGAGAAATCAGCTGATATTCAAATTTAGTTTTTAGGGGACAATACTGATAAGAAAGCTTATTTATTTAAGAAAACAAAATTTCTATTTAAGAAAACAAAAAGTCCCTTACGTTCCACAAGGCTTACAGAGGAAATTAAAAAGCATAAAATCTAGGCCTAGAGAAGAGTAAAGAAAAATAAAATACTATTAAAATATTCAAATACACCATGGATAGTTAAGCTATGTTAATACTCATAAAAGAAAATAAACCAACTTAAAATACAAATAAAATATTGATATAAAGAAAAAATGATACATCAACAGTACAACATATTAACCCTTTAACCGTCAAGTTATTTTGATGATTTGGGTACACAAATTGTCAAATTTTTTTATTGCAAAAATCAAATGTTTAGTACAAAATAAAATATTTTTAAGTAGTTAAAAATTGATATTTTGAAGTACATGGGTAAAATTTTTAAAGTTTTGTAGCCACTGCATATTTGCTTGAGGCGGCTGCCACTCAACATGGCATTTGTAAAGTTCGCTTCTGGTGGAGCATTATTTTCTAAAAATGAAAAAAATATAAGTGAATACCTATTAGTAGTTCAGTAATTCAGTCTTGTGTGGTACAACTGGAAACACTTTTCCAAGCACAAACCAACTCCACAATCACTACACCAGAATCGTGATTCCTTCCTCATTTTTATCCTTTTTCGAACAAAACTTTGCACTGTCTTGTAGGCGCACGTTTCGCAGGAGTAGGAAGAATATGGGATATGAAATGTCGTTCAGCAAGACGGGCAGGGTTATCTATTGTAGGTGGTCTGCCAACATTCTTTTGTCCAGAAGCTGCATCATCATATTTATGTAAAAGCTCTTCTACAACTTGGATTCGAAATTCTAGAAATGTAATTATGTTTTCCCAACTACATTTTTATAGAGCAAATATGAGTTCCAAAGTACCTTGTCTAGTAAATGTAAAAATATCTTTTTATAATATTTTCATTTTTTGGTTTTTTTTAACGGATTGTTGGATGAAAGGATATTTCCTAATCA